AAGCAAAAAGCAACACTATGCAGTAGTCTCTGTCTGGAAAAGATAAAACAGGTTTAGGATGTAAGCTTCTGAATGGCTTTTAGAAAACCACATTGCTTAGAAAAATAGAGAGGTGTTTCCAAGATCGTAGGTGGTGATACTGACTTTGAAATACGGTCCTAGCTTCCACAGTTAGTAACCCTGGGTCTCTACTACTTATTCTTAAATGATCTGATGATTACTTATAAAGTTAGAAAAAATAACACTCATCAAGAATTTGGATTTGGGTTTTTGTAGTTTGGGGTATAAAGAAAGAAACAAGTTCTGTGAGAAGACACACCAGGTTTCAGAGACTGGTTCCAGACAGGTACAAAAGCAGTCCCTCTCTCTGGGACAGAGCAGAGTAAGACGAACTAGAGGGCAGGTGTGGTGCTTCTGAACATAGTTTGGAACTTTACTTTTCTGCATTAATCTACATAAGGAATTGATTTGAAAAGCAGTACTAGGGAACGTGGCCATGTTTGATCTTAAAAGGGGCCAAATTTGGGGCCGATTTACACTCCTGGTGATCTACAGCTTTAAAAAGTTGGCAGTAGCTCAAGTTGAGAACTAAAAAGTGGGCCTTGAGACAAATTTAATTGAAGGAAAGGTCTGATGCATTTCAGAGGATTCTGAAGGCAACATCAAAAGGTATTTTTAAAAGGCGTTGAGAGGTTGGATTGCCCAGGTGGCCAAACAGGTGTAGTTGCAAAAGCAAGGAGTAGATCCCCCACAAAGGGAGGCCGCCTTCCCATCCTCTCATGTGCTCTCAATTTGTCTACGCTTGTGATAGACGGCCTTTTTGCAAGTCTAGCAGTAACAAAGCAGAATACAGACTTAGCCACTTATATGTATCTTTGGTCCTTAGGTCCTGTAAGAAACCTGCTTATTGAGAACCAAGAAATCATGGCATTTTTCTCATTCTTCCAAGGATGAATACTGCCTTCGTTAATATAAAGTTTATAGCCCAAGCTATGGTTCTATTCTTTTCTTGTACATGTAATAGCTTGGCAAGTCAATACCAAATCATATTGCAATCTTTGAAGACATTTTAAGCAGCAACCAAAACTCAATCCACATTTTTTCAATACAATAAACAACTGGATATGAGAAGGCACGGTCAAGTTTATGTGTGCAATGTTCACAGACAACAGTAATGAGTTATGACCACTGCTTTCCTGATAGAGACTGTAAAACGATTCTGATTATAATACGCGTACCTGTTGGAGATGTTAAAATTTTAAAAAACAAATGCATATTGGACTATGAAATACAGTATGTGTGGATTTAAGGAGAAAGAGTTCATGTTAAGGACGGTGAGTTTTCTGCATGAATCTCTCCAGGCCTTCTGCATGAATTGCTTAAGATGACAGAGAAACACACTGCCACATAATACCTCCTTGAAGACTTGACTATCAAGAAATAATTGCACTGATTCTGAAACATCTGTAAATGCAAACAATCAATGTGCAAAGCCTATCTCTTTGCTAATCTTGTTACAAACAAAAATATTGAAAACAAATAAGAAAAGCAGTTCATTATAATAATTTGGTAAAATTAAGTGATTAAACATAAAGCACTAGAGCTAGATAAAATCATTCTTAATGTGTTTGAACAGCATTCTTATATTTTCTATAATTCAAAATCTTAAACTTCTTTCAATCCCTCGTATTACTCAAATAAGTCAGCAACTTGAAACTGGAGACTAATTGAAATAAAATCTATCCAAAAAAGGTCATGTCTTAAAGTCAGGATAAGGCCATGTCCTCAAGAATTCCCATAGTTATTTAATGCCCTTTGTTGGAGAGGGCTGTGTCATCGATACACTAATTACCAGTTCAAACAGACAGCAGGCATCAAGTGGAGAGACGGCCCTGAGAGAAGTCATGAAAAGTAGGTCTTTCTCCAATGTACTCCCCGAGGGATAAATCACTTTTTGTTATAAAAGATTAAACTTTAAACCCATAAATATGACTGTGTTCTGCTCAACAGTTCATAGTATACACCACACACACACCACACATTTTACAGCCCCAAATGTACATCAAATATGGCTCAAGTCTAGTGACTGTAATCTCAACCCCACTGATATTTTTGTGAGAGGTAGGCAATAATCACTCAGCAGGAGAGAATCACCACTTTTGAAACAAACACAGCTTTCAAAAAGTTTGTTTTTTTTTTTTTAATTTTTTTTTCAACGTTTATTTATCTTTGGGACAGAGAGAGACAGAGCATGAACGGGGGAGGGGCAGAGAAGGAGGGAGACACAGAATCGGAAACAGGCTCCAGGCTCTGAGCCATCAGCCCAGAGCCCGACGCGGGGCTCGAACTCACGGACCGCGAGATCGTGACCTGGCTGAAGTCGGACGCTTAACCGACTGTGCCACCCAGGCGCCCCTCAAAAAGTTGGTTTTAATCTATTATAGTACAAAAGCAAACAACAGCAAATGTAGGTCAACTTGATAGATGATTCTGTTCTGTTTCTCAGTACCTTTTTCTGTAAAAGGGCTCTTAAGAGTTCTCTCATTGTGATAACGGGGTGTATGAAATGCACATCCCTTTAAAAATAATTTAAAGTGGTTTAGCATTCTATTCATCAATTAAAAATGGTAAGTTTTCTAAGGCATAAGTTGTTATTTGATAATATTCCATAAAACTACTAACTTTAGGAGCTCTCATTCTTCACATTCTTCCATTCCTTTCACATGAACAAGTAATACAAAAATGTGAGCAGGGGCTCAGGTGGTGGCTCAGGTGGTTGAGCGTCCCACTGGTTCAGGTCATGATCTTAAGGTTTGTGAGTTCAAGCCTTACATGGGCTCTCTGCTGTCAGCACAGAGCCTGCTTTGGATCCTCTTTCACCCTCTCCCTCTCTGCCCCTCCCCTGCTCATGCTCTCTCTCTCTCTCTCAAAACTAAATAAACAAAACAACAACAAAAAATGTGAGCATATCAGTCAAGTTAAAAATGCAATGACTCACAAAAAGTGAAGAAACTAAAACAACCTCTAGGTATCTCCATCTGCAACAAAGATATGTCTTTGACTGATTCATAATTTCCCAATTACCTCATCTGCAAGATAAAAGTTTGTATAGTCTGTGATTTTGAAGATTAGTTCCGGCTTAAACATTTTGTGTTTCTAAAAATTCTAGGAGATACATGAATTTGCTGGTGAGATACGGTCTGTTTCAATACAAATAAGCAGTTTTGTTATTTGATTATCTTCCTATAAATCATGAAATTAAATCACACACAAAAATTAGACACTATACAGTATTCTTGTTTCAATATTTACCATTATGCATCAAATATAGACTATTGCAATATTCAGTATAAAATCACTCATACTGGGGTTTCTGGATGGTTCAGTTGTTTAAGGGTCTGACTCTTGATTTCGGCTCAGCTCATGATCTCACAGTTCATGGGATGGAGCCCCACACTGGGTTCAGTACTGTCAGCAGGAAGCCTGCATGGGATTCTCTTCCTCTCCCTCTCTCTCTGACCCTCCCCCACTGGCTCACACATGCACGCACACACTCTGTCTCTCAAAATAAATAAATTAAAACTTAAAAAAAATCACTCATACTGCCATTTGAAGAACCACCACAATTTGAAAAGCCTTTCACACCTTCCCAACCTGATTTGGTCAGAGATATACAGCTGCGTTTTATTGAGAAGGAGGTACTGAGTCTGTCACTGGCTTTCCCATATCCAGCGAACAGACAAGTGTTATTCTGAGAAACAGGACCAAGTTCTATAATAGTTAAATATATGATATAAAGAACTGATCTTGCACTTCAAAATAGGTTAATTAACCAAATTCCTTTAAAAAAGACACATTCTTAATACCCATATTTCTACCATATTTCATTACTAAGTAAACATATTCATGTACATTTTGCAACCCAATTTAATATTCATAAAAACATGATTATGAAATAAATCTAATAAAACTTAAGTGTAAAATATATATCTATTGAACGCACCTTTCCTGTAATAGAGTAAGTCTAGCTAAAACAAAAATAAAAACAAAACACAAAAACCAAGAACTGGTATGCCCAAAAACCTCACCTGAAAGTTAAATTCTGTGGTTTGGTGGGCTACAACAGTTTATTCCTGTTTGAAATAATTACAAACGCAGCATTCTACTTAATTATACTTATTAAAATTTATCATATTAGAAGATAATTGGTAAACTGGAGCATTTATTTCTGTAATCTTTACTATTAGGATAATTACACGGTCATTGTTTATGATTCACTCTTCAGAAAGTAAATTACCACCTAATCTGAGTTTCCATTGTTTGATATGTAATTTATTAAAAAAGAGAAAAGAAAAGAAAAGAATCTCCTTTTACCCACTAGAATTTATGAATATAAGTGATGAAACCATGCCACTGAATGCTCTATCTTATAATCATGATTCGGTGATACAAATGTCATATGATATGAAAATGTCTAGTGAAAAATTACTCTCAAGAGAGCAGCATCATAATTATTTTTATAAATGAACCCTTACTACAGAAGACTACAGGTTATAATCTAAGTGTCTAATAAAGACTAGATTGCTTTCCTGCATATAATAATTTCCTGTGGATTGGCTAATGCTGTATATTTAGTTTCATTAATTCTACTCTTTATTACAATAGGAACATGCACTGTAACATGAACCAAAACATAATCAAGTGAGCGTGCATATTTGGACAAATTGTTGAACCATTTACATGTTAAATGAATGATTAAAATATCTAATTATGTTTTACATATTCATAGAATAAAAGTGCTACGGTCTTTAGTTGAAAACTGTTTTCATCAGTGTACTTTCAAAGACTTCTCTTTCTTCTATATCAGTATCATATATTTGTGTATACGAATATAATGAAGCTTTAAATATTGATTTCATGAAAGGCAATGAATGAAACATCAAGTCTTATTTTTATCATTTTTACTTAATTCTATGGGAACAAAGCATATACTGTAGTACCTTTGGATATTGCTTGACAGGAATCAATACCCTTTCTGAGAGCTTTATGTTTTTGTTGCTGATGACATCAAGATATTTCTTTTCTTCATCTTCTTTTTTTCCATCAGAACCTTGAAATTTTTCAATTTCTGAAAAAAAATTCACAAGAAAAAAACAGTAAGTGAGATGAGAAGTCATAAATAATGCTGATTGTTCTTATTACTTGACTTCTTAAAAAAGATTTTGAAGAACCTTGATAGGACTAAACACCACCTTGTTAACAGCTACGTGAATGCTACCATATATTAAGATGACCTCTGTCAAATCTAACTAAAAAGTTATCATTGAAGATGTGACTGCCTGCCATGAAACAAATGATGAACTTAATTTTTAACATCTACAACCAAAGAAGAAGGAAGGAAGAATATGCCATTTAATTATTTAAAATATCTAAGCAAACATAACTTTCCTAAGGACAATAAATAGAATAAAATATATTTTAAGGCCATATGTTTTATTTTTACTAAGAATTATTCCTATTCTCTATAATAGGATACTAATGATAAATAGCATATTATTTTATATTCTAACAAAACTTCAAGGCAATTATAAAGGGGGTCATAGCAAAGTCTTCTAAAGGATTAAATCTGTAAATGCTATCATTCATATTCATCAACATGAAATTATCTGTCCATATGTTTAAGAGGAATTACTAATTTTGCCTTATGAGAACATTCCCAAAATGGATGTTTTTGAGCAAATGTACATTACTTACCTATTCTTTCGTTTTAAAATTAATTTATTCCACAAAGACTCTTAAACCTCTATTGTGGGTACCACAGATAAAACAGAAAGCAGAAAATAAGAAAATGTCCCTGCCTTTATGGAATCTATATTCTGATGGGAAAAATGAGCAATTAGAAAGTGAATATATATGTGCATGCATATTTATGTGTGGGGGTAAAAGATAAATAAAATAAAGATATTAAGACAGCTTTTTAAAGTTTTGTCAGATGGAACAAGAAAATTTTGTTTCTGTAATTTTGGAGTAAAGGAAAGGTGGTGATATTTGTTAAGTATGGAAATTCTCAATTCATATCAATTTATATTGCTTTGAAACATTTTTTTAAAGATCTGACTACTTCTGGAGGTAAAAGCAATACTGTATTGCATGTAAAAGCTTTGTTCTTTGTTGTTGTTTGTAATTAGTATCTTTCCCAAAATGATTTCACATACATTACATAAAATCCCTGTAGTATTCCCAAAGATAATCTTTTAGCATATCGTTTATTTGACTCATGTGGAATTATTAAAAAATCTTTCTGAAGTAAGATCACATTGCTTACCCACATAGTGGCTGAATGAATGCTATACAGCATGGTTTGCACAGAGTCATTTACAATCACTTTTTTTTCAGGTATATACTATAATTTCCCTGAAGACAATTATCTTAGAATAAACTGTACTGTTTGAAAAAAAGTTATTTGGGGCGCCTGGGTGGCTCACAGCCTGGAGCCTGTTTCCGATTCTGAGTCTCCCTCTCTCTCTGCCCCTCTCCCGTTCATGCTCTGTCTCTCTCTGTCCCAAAAATAAATAAACGTTGAAAAAAAGTTATTTGTAATATGTCTATAATTTCTATGTAGAATGAGGACATCAGATTCTCACTATTCCACTCCAGCAAGTCATTTTAACTGCCTGTCGTTTTCAACCAAAAAGCATTCTCTATTCAGGCTTTCAATCCCGTATACAATTATTACATACAGAACTCTGACAACTGCAAAGAAATAATATTCATTATATCTTCTGATCCTGACAATGAACTGTTGATCACTGCCCTTTGGGTACATGCACCTACCTAATACCATACCTAGTTTGAGGCAATTGTAATGTGGGACACAAAGACTCAATTCCCAATCTATTAAATGTATAGTTTCTCCCTTATCACTCACTCCATCACAAAATAAATTGAATTTGTCTGACATTATTTGTTCTCTACAAAACTACTACTACCCTAGGCATTTTTAAACATTTGCAATTTGATCAATTATTAATTCCAATAAATTTTCCATCAAGAAATGGAGTTGAATAAAATACCATTTCCACTGCTTTTTCTGTTCATTTCTACACTTTCCTTTTAAAAATGTTGATATGTCTTTTGCCCTTCTGATATTGTGAGGGAGTTATCTTGTCTTTCCTGACACCTCTACATGACTAACAGCTCAGTCATTGCATTTGTCAACTGGGTAGTCATGGAAAGGTATAAGCCAAATATGCCTGATTTTAAAGCCAGGAAAAGCAATGTATACAACACCTTTCCTTTTTAAATTTTACTTTAAAATAATTCTTTATTTTATAATTAATGCATGTTCATTGTGCAACATTCAGACAATATAGGTATCCATAAAGATTTAATGGTATCCATGGTCATCTAACAATAACTAAACAGTTTTGTGGAGAGGAGTTGAATAATTTTTTATATTTGTTTGTATGGCCTCTCTTTAAATTTGCCTTCCATATTATTGGGAAAACATATTTAATATACTAGGGCAGGATTATTTTTTGTTGAAAATGTTAAATTACATACATTTTAGTATCTTCTGTTCTCCTTTCACCATTTATCTATTAATGCCCATATTCATTCAAATGCCCAAATTCATTCAAGAATTTGCTTTAGCATTCATTGACTTATTTTTAGTGGCTCTCTCCATAGTACTAAAATTATGAGAAGATTACAACAGAGTTAACCTGTGGGCATCGGTGTATTCACCTTGTACCCAACTGGTTTTAGTCAGATGGAAGCTATAGTAAGAAATTATACTTTTTGTAATAAAAAAACACATAACCGTACTTCCTATTTAATAATTTCAAGTGTACAGTTCAATAGTGGTAAGTCTATTCTGTTGTTGTCTGTGCATCTCTAAAATGTTTTCAGCTTGCAAAACTAAAATTCTAGAACCATGAAACACTCATTTTCCATCCCCCTCCCACAGGCCTTGGCAACCATCTTTTCACTATCTTTTCTACGCTTGACCACTTTAGGTACTTCATATGAGTAGAATAACACAGTTTTTGCTTTTTTATGAGTGGAATGTTTCATTTAACATAATGTTCTCAAGGTTTATCCATGTGGTAGCATGTGTCAAGATTTCCTCCTCTTTAAAGTCTATATAACATTCCATTGTAGATACATACCACATTTTCTGTATCAATGGATATCCGAGTTATTTCTACCTCTTGGCTATTGTAATAACACTTCTATAAACATGGATGTAGAAGTGTCTTTGAGATCTTGCTTTGAATTGCTTTGGACATATACAATTTTTTTGGACATATACAATTGTTTTGGACATATACAATTGTTTGGACATATACAATTGTTTTGGATCATATGGTAATTCCATTTTAATTTTTTTAGGAACCTCCATACTATTTTCCATAATGACTGCACCATTTTATATTCGCAGAAAGAGTGCACATGAGTTCCAATTTATCTGCATCCTTGCCAACACTTGGTATTTTCTATTCTTTTGATAGTGGTCATCCTAACAGGCATGAGATGACATCTCATTGTGATTTTTATTTTCTCTTATGTTTAGTGATCTTGAGTATCATTTCATGTGCTGTTGACCATTTGTTTATCTTCTCTGTAGTATTATCTGTTCAGGTCTTTTGCCCATTTTTAATTGGGTTATGTGTTTTATTGTTGTTGAGTTGTAGAATTTCATTATACATTCTGCACATTAACCCTTTACATATATATGATTTGCAAATATTTTCTCCCATCCCATAGGTTACCTTTTCACTCTGTTGATTGTTTCTTTTGATCCACAGAAGTTTTCTTTTAGTTTGATGTAGTTCCCTTTATTTTTTACTTTTGTTGCCTATGCTTTTGATGCCATATCCAAGAAATCATTGACAAATCCAATTCTTGAAGCTTTTCCTCTATGTTTTCTTTGGAGTTTTATAGTTTTAGATCTTACTTTTAGGTCTTTAATCCATTTTGAGTTAGGTTTATGTATGATGTGAGACAAGACTCCAACTTCATTCTTTTGCATGTAGATATCCAGTTTTACAACACGATTTGTTGAAGAGACTGTCCTTTCCCCATTGTATGGTTTTGCACCCTTGTTGAATAACATCTGACCATATACACAAGGGCTTATTTCTGGGCTCTGTATTTTGTTCCACTGCTCTGTATTTCTATCTTTATGCCAGTATCACACTGTCTGGATTACTGTTGCTTTGTTATTATATTTTTGTTGTTGTTGCTTTTGTTTTCAGGGTTTTTTTTAAGTTTTTATTTAAATTCCAGTTAGTTAACATATAGTGTAATATTAGTTTCGGTGTAGAATACAGTGATTCAACACTTTCATACAACACCTGGTGCTCATAACAAGGCACTCCTTAATACCCATCACCTATTTAACCCAAGCCTCTCCACTGGTAACCATCAGTTTGTTCTCTATAGCTAAGAGTCTTGGTTTCGGTTTCTGTTTCTCTCTCTCTCTCTCTCACTTTTTCCTTCTTGCACTGTTGGTGGGGATGCAAACTGGTGCGGTCACTACGGAAAACAGTATGGAGCTTCCTCAAAATTTGAAAATAGAACTATCCTACAATCTAGCAATTGCACTACTAGGTATTTACCCAAAGAATACAAAAATACTAATTCAAAAGGATACATGCACCCTAAGGTTTATAGCAGAGTTATCTACAACAGTCAAACTACAGAAACAGCCCAAATGACCATCAACTGATAAACGGATAAAGAAGATGTGGCGTATATATACAATGTATTATATTTTGAAAACAGGTTGCAAATCTTCCAAATTTGTTCTTCTCCTTCAAAATTATTTTGGCTATTTGGAGTCTTTTAAGATTCCATATACATTTTAGAATTTTTTTTATATTTCTGAAAAACAAATGCCATAGGAATTAAACAGGGATTGCACTGAATCTGTAGATTGCTGAGGGTATTATGGAAATTTAATCAATATTCAATGTTCCACTTCACAAAGGATTCCTTCCTCTCACCTGCATCCTCCTTGATATTACTGAGTTATTTTTTATAGATTTTAGGTAAGAAGATATTTCGAAGGGAACTTTTAGTTCTGCTTTTGCTTCACTTTTTCATTTTATTTGGGCATATCAT